CCCCAAAACCCCAAAACCCCAAAACCCCAAAACCCCAAAACCCCAAAACCCCTTATTATTCCTAAAATATTGAAAATTAAATATTATTTAGAGAAAAATAGAGCAATTCGCTAAGCGTAAGTATGTCATACCAATCAACAATGGGAACTACTATCCTTATAATAGCAGCAATCATTAGCATACTCCTGGTATTAATGATTACCTACTCTTCATCTTATTTGGAAGCCCACATTTTTATAGTTAAACTTGGCTTCGATTTATCTATTTTACAATAGAATGCCTGGTTGTTAAATCTAAGCCCATCCAGAGAGCATTTATCAGAATCTGGGCTTACAGCAAATGCTCAGAGATTCTGATGGTTTGTCTGGTCCATTATTCTGAATTATAAAACCATTTAGAATTGATCCTTACCTGAGCATCTTATAAAAGTTAATAATACTAATTGAAAGTTTGGAGTAATGACTTAACAAGCTAACATTATATTTTGGGAAAATGAGTTATTTTGTAAAATCATGAACTTTTCCAGATGACTCATCCTCAAAGTCGATCGACTCCACCAAAAGGTGCTATGGGATCGATTATTTATAAAATTTTATACTTCATTAAAATGTCTGGAAATATGTTCGTTCGATCAATTTATCCTGAAAGTAGGTAGAATAGCCTAGTTTTGCCTCCCCCAAAATGGTCCTGACATTACTCAGTGCTCTTTGCTCGATGTATCATAATAAGGTTAATTATAGATGGAAAAAGTTCCTAATATTGAAAAAGTTAAGAAATCTAAGTCCCAGGTAAACCGTCATATAATAGAAATAGAGTCGAAGAAGAAGGTTCAAGTTAGAGAAGAAGAAGCTTAATGAACAAAAACAATTCAAAAAAGAAAAAAATTATGATAGCAGAGATGAGAACATTCTTTCTGAGAAGCCTTATATTTTAATGGAAAAGATTACCACCAATCGGGAAATCGTCAAAATCACCCAATTACATCCTTCTCATCAAAGAGAAAGTGATTTTGTCACTGAGATTAGAAACAAATATGAGTCTCCAGAGAAGATTAATAAGATTTTGAATGACTTTGAAGACATTCGACCCCACTCCAATTCAAACGCGACCAACACTCCATTGGTTCAGAACTATAGTATCTCTGATAGTAAGAATAATATGAAAGAATTGAAGCTCTTTTCAAGAGTTGATAGGTAAAATCTTGAATAACCAGTTAGTTATCAGCCTACAAATACTGTATATTTCAGCAATAAAATGCTACAAAAGTAATATAATTGCTAAACAGGTTTAGAAATGCGATTAATCCAACTATGCCTCTGTTGAATAACTCAAATTACTCGAATGAGTACTCAAAGGGTAATTCTTATCAATCAATTCTATAGATGAGTCAAGAGCACTTAAGCAAAGAGGGATCTTCACTTCTGGTACGAATAACAGATCCAAAGATGCTAATCGCTCCCAACCAAGGAAGAAGAGCAATTTCGTAAATCATTCTCAAGGAACAGAGTCTCTGAGTAAAAGAATGAAAAGAGCGGATTTAAGCTCATGGGGAGGATATGATTATAAGAATAATGATAATTGAGCACCAGAAGGGCAATATCATACTGTTAACAAAGCAAGACCTCAACATATTTCTAAAAATTCCAAGTTCAGTAATAGAAATGTTAAGATAAAGCCTATTGGAAATAAGGTTAAATTAATCAATAAGAATTCGGTCAATATCTTCCTAGACCAAGGTATATTCATCATAACTTGTAGATGGGATAGTAAGGCCTCTTTTTAACTGAGAAGAAAATTTGGATGACAGCCAAAGGAACATTAATTCTCCCAAGAGCAGAGGTATGAGACACCAGTTGGAGAAAGAACACTCTTTTTCAAACGCCACTAACACTCAGACTAATTATTTTAAAAAGAGAGAAGAAATGTCTGAGCACAAAGCTGCTAAATCCAGTTCATATTCTCCGAGCAAGAAAAATCTCAACAAGCTTAATCACAAAGTTATATACCAAAATAAGGAGGATAAGTTCTTTTATGAGAGATCAAGCACAATGGTTGCTGAAGTTCAACAAAACAATGATTCTTCGTTGAGTATGATCCCTTCTCGGAAGACCAAAAAGATGGACAAGTTGATCCTAGAGCATAATGAGAATGCAAAGAAGTTCATGGCACCTGCTATCCAGTTTAAAAGACGAGTTAATACAGGAAGTAAAAATCCTCAGGCTCAGGGGAACCTTAACTGTAAATCAAAGGTGAAAAAGAGACTGAAGTTCACTATGAGAAACAACAAAGCTATCTCTCCTAAATGAAAGCCGAAAGAGAAGCCATGTGACCTGACTTTCAAAGTGCAGGGTCTTTCTGGATTCTTGAACCTATCTAGTGATGTATACAACGACAAGACTCCAGCTAATATCTTGGATGATGTCTCTTCAAAAATAATTATTACAAAGCCACAAAATGCAACAAGAAACAATAAGAATTCGAGCATTAAGAAGTATTACAGCAAAGAGGTAAAAATCTATCTAATATCATAGAGTGGCAGCAATAAGGATGGGTCAAACAGTCAAGTTCAGTATATGGCTCCTACTTATAAAAACGGTGTATTTTACTCGAATAGTAACAATACTACCAATGAGATCAAGGTAAATATTCTATCTAATGTTCTAGAGCGATTCAGACACCTTGAATCTCTCTAATACTTATGCTGGAGATGACTCTTATTCTCCAGAAAAGAGATTGGGTGATGCTAGATATTTACAGCCTAATCATATGCATAAGAGTGTCCTTTCAAAGACAGCATCTGAGCTACCTGGCATGAATGAGTAGTCTCTTTGGTATAATATTTAGTACTAAAAGGATAAAAATGAAATCTCAGACAGATCATTTAAATATTCCAGAGAATGACATGGGACAATCATGATTCTCAGAGTCTTCAAGTAGGATGAAGTCCCATCATAACATGAAGAAAAGCAGATGCACTATCATCACAAAATGAGATGGGCCGAGGACTTGCCAATCCACCCAGACAAAGAGGCTTTGAATGAAAAGAAGAGCTGAAATGGCAGGGAAGCCTATTCTCATAATCAATTTTCATGGGGTCTTAGGATGATTGAGGTAAATTTTATCTATAAATACTTTAGAAAAAGCAATTCCAACATTGATGATTTATGTAAAGTTAAGAAATATTACCAACAAACTCAGGAAAAGGATGTCTTTATCAGACAAGCTTCAGGAAAGAATCTTAAGTCCCTGATGGGGTCATTCCAGATTGTCCTCTTCATCAATAAATATGCTAAGAGGCATGAGACCTTCATAAATATTGTGGAAAGCAGGGTTGGAGATGTATTTGATGCTATTTACACAAGATGTTCCTATAAAAATGATAATAAAGTAGTTGATTACAGCCAAATATATGAAGATTTCTGTATCAAAACAGAAGATATTGACAATAAAGTAGCCGTACTATGACCTATAAATATGGAAACAGAAGAAGTCAAAGATCGAGAGAGAGAAGAACTTCTGTTTATTGATAACACTCAGAATTACTGATATAAAAATATCATTGCTGAATGTATTCCAATGAATTCCAATGCATGAAGAAATCCCCTAAGTATTCTCTTTGCTTCATTAAGAAATGATGTTTTTAATGCGAATGATGCCAATCAATCTAATAGCAAAGGAACAAGCAGCAAAATGATGACCTTCGCAAGGCTCACAAGATTCTTAAACATTATGATGAATGCTTTTGAAGAAGAAGCTAGCAAATCTTCTTCAAAATCAGACAAATCTGAGGAGGAAGATTTCTCATTCATTAAAGGATTTAAAGCTTTACAGAAGTTAATAACAAAGGGAAACAATTCTACACTAAAGACAGCTTTATTTTCAACTAATAAGATATCTCAAGCAGTTAATCTGCAGAAGGCAAAGGAAGATAAGGTCTTAAAGCTTAGATCTGAAAAATAAGAAAAAATATAAGTCTCAATTGGAGAGAGAAGAAATTCATAAGAAATTTATTGAGTATAATTTTCACCTGGCTAAGACAAACTCCTATATAAATTTGAAGAGTCAGAATGTCCATACTAGTCGCCATGTGAATCAATATTACAATGATTTTTATTATGAACTAATAGAGAAAGAAGAGGAGGATATTGAAGAGAAGCAGAACATTAGCAGCCAAATTGATCATCTGCTAGGTAATTTATAATTTATTCTTTAGTCCAGTTCCAAAACTTCAAAATTCCAGATATGACAGACATGAGCCTAAATTCTACAAGGCTCTATTTGAACAGGTTTGTTGCACTAGACCATGTTATATTTTAAAACAAGAGTAAACTCAATTTTCAATGACTATAACAAGTTATGGGGTTTTGGGGTTTTGGGGTTTTGGGGTTTTGGGG